AAAAAAAAACGAAAGATCGCAAATAATTCCTTATAACCATGAGGGGATTATCATGCGCTGTTCCTCGTTCTCGAGAGCAGCATATAGTGATGTTATCATACTAGGCGACCTATGTGAAATAGTAAAATTTTTTTCTTGAAATAAAACAATTTCTCTCAAAGTAAAAAACCCAAAGAAAAGTTACTACAAGGGTACCTGCTGTGAAACGATGGTGGAGGAATATTCAATATCAAATAACAGACAGTTGGAAATTTCCAAAAAAAACTCACGAATACATTTGTTGTAGTTCGTATGCAAACGGATCCAATGACAGTCTGAATTTGAAGAATCGCAATGGCAGTTACCCAAGCCGGTCCATGATAGACCCTCGAAAGATTGCCAACAAGTCTCCCTGAAATCATTGAAGGTACGAGATTGTCTCATTGAATTTCAGAAACATTTATTCCATGTACAACAGTAATACCAACCGGTCAGCCATTGTACAGCGGTTATCCTGGTCGACCCCACAACTTGCCCGAAACAGGCTCCACAGTTGTCGACAGGAGATATGCCGCAAACATACATCATTCAGTGCTGAGTCACAAGTTGCTCTCCCAAGAACCTCCCTTGTGCCAAGGTCTGCAACGAACAAAAAGAGTCCTCGTCTTGGGCAAACTCCAAAATCGAATTCTTGAGGAAGACCAATCTGAGGACGACGTAGAAAAGACTGTGGCGCGGTACGTCTGAGTTTTTTGCTTTCATAAGAGTAAGGATCTTATAACGGAGACAATTAGATTGATTTATCATCCGAGGTTCCATTGAGAGGGTAAGATTGGAGATCATTGGAACCCAGACAAGAAAAACTGGAAATTTCAGGGCAAATATGAGACAGGAAGAAATCGAATTAGCTCGAGTGCTTTCGTAGGCTGGGAATGCCTATATCACTTTTACCGCGGTCTACTTTTACACAGCCTTTATTTTTTGGGTGTGTATTTTCTAAATGCCCCTGAAGCCTATGGAAATTCAAAATCTAATTATCATAAAATTCCAAGTTTTCAGTCGAGGATGCATCTCGGTTGGAAGATAGTGGAATATACTTTTTCCCAGGGATAAATTGAATACCCACCTATTCCATCTTATCCCGTTGCTAGAGCCCCAACAGCTTTGGAAACTAACCTCCACTAAGTTGCGTTTTAAGTTGCCGTATTTGATCCGAAAGGGGAGTTCTTGTAGTTCGCTTATGTGAGCCATTGACTATAGCACTGGGTGGAATCAACGAAAACGTTCTGAAATGCTTCGCTAAGAAAGGAGAGTTTAAAAGTGCTGCTAAGGCCAGGTGGCCAACTGCACGGAACTCACTGTTCAATTGCTCGTCGTTGTTCTCCGGCATCTCTCATTATATTCTCACATGGATGATTCCATACGAGTTCGTGAAAGTTTTTACAATCATCAGGAAAACCTGTAAGAACCATT